TAGTGCTCGATGTGGCTTAATAGGTCCAAAACACTGTCCTGGGCACTCAGTCGTGGGCGAAATCCGGTCATACACGATGGCCATCGTCTTCCTTGTTCAAGGTACCAAGTTAATCTTGTACATATTAATCTTTCCATCAACTTAGATATGCATGATGTAAGAGATACTGGTCGATATGAGGCGAGGCTCGCAGGATCCTTTCCGGACTTTAGGACTGGCACCACCCATGCTGTCTTCCAAACAAATGGGATCTCTCCCGTGCTCCAGACATGATTAAATATGTCCAAAAGGGCCCTTTTTCGCTCATATGGTAGATTTGTCAGCATTTGATTGCTGATCAAATCGGGACCCACAGCACAGCGTCTTCTTGATTTGCTAAGTGCCATATCCAGCTCTTGAAAGGTGAATGGCGTATTCATGGTGTGAAAAAACTGGGAGGACAGAGGAATCGCCACTCCTGATGATCTACCAGATGTGTACACGTCTGCGAAATCCTCTGCAAGGGTTTGCAAATCTATCCCTTGAGTGCTTCGAATGGCCTGTGTGTTCGGATCTTCCCAGAATGACTATTTATTACTGCCCATATCTTTGTCAAGGGCGTAAACGAGCTGATAAACTCTCACAGAAAGCGGCCCATTGATTTCGTCTTAATTTTTTTTGTATGGCGACGAATCGCAGCGTTTATCCTGTTATATTTGGTTTTCGCAAACGGATTTCCTTTTGTTCTTATTTTTTTCCGCTCCGCCCGTCTACGTGCTGCGCAGAGGTTCTTCAATTTTAAGTCAGGAGCAAGAAAATGGTCGGGCAGTTTCAGCAACGAAGTTGCTGCTTGCTTGCTTTGCAACATATCTGCGAACAGCTCACCAGTGGATTTGTCCAACGTTTCTCTGTAGGTGTCCCAGTGTGTTACATTGCAGAATTGTCGACCAGCAGTTTGAAATCCCAGGATATTGGTAAAGATAGAAAAACGGTCGCTGCCCATCCTGTCTGGAGCCGTGGTCGATGATACCAGAAGGTCCGTGGAGTGAAGTACAAGGTCTATTGCACTCCATGAATCTGGTGGCCTGAAAAATGTAGGTTTCCCATCGTTCGCCACACATAAGTCGGCAGCATCCGCAGCTGCTAGAAGTTCCTTGCCTTGAAAATCTACACTCTTATCTCCCCAGAGTGGATGGTGCGCGTTAAAATCACCACAGATTATTCGAGGAGCGGGACATCGAGTGCAAAGGTCCTTTAGGAAAGTCTCCATGGAGACCTTTTTTCGTGGGCTTATGTACACCGATACCACACTCAGTTTTCGGTCTCCCAGGCACACTTGCACAGCAGTGACTTCCAGTGAGTTGGAACAGAGGTCTTGCACTGGTAAGGCGACAAGAGGTATTTCCCGCCTTATGCATATCATTGCGCTTCCATTTGCAAATGACGTTATGCTCGGGTTGCCGTGTCGGGTGTACCCTGGGAGCATCCTTGCATTCGGTAGACCGGCTTTGGAGAGGGCTAAAATTGGTATTGGAATGTCGCGCAGGAAAAGGTTTAGTTTAACTAGCACAGACATTTTAGAAGACCAGCGCAGTTCCATTGCATTATTAAGGGCACTTTTGAAGGGCGAAATAGACCAGGTGGGCGAGACATTGCCATTATTCTACTGTGTGTTTGTGGAAGCAGAGTAAAGTAACACTGACTCTAGAGCCAGGACTGCTTCCAACATATCCTTCGTTGAACTCGCAGGCATCTTAGCGACGTGTGAACGTAGTGCGGTGAACAGAGTGCGAATAACGTGCTCGAGGTTTTCTTGCTGTTTGCTTCCAGGTGGTACTTGAGGTGGGTTCAGTGCATCAGCATAGGTGCGCTTGGCGGACTCTTTCGTGATACATTTCTCACCAGCGTTGAGCACTTGCGTTGCTCAGTACAAGCTCTTGTCGGATTTAGGCGCAGAAAATTTCCTGCGTACTCCTTATCCAAACTGCCATGTTGTGGCGCGCCTGACGTCTTCTTTGTGAGCGATGGTTCGTTCACAGTCTTCAGACCGAGGACAAACGTCTTATTTCTTCGCTGTGCAGCTGTTCGGGCTGGACATCGGCTGTAGCTAGCTGGGTGGTCACCGTCACAGTTTGCACACACAAGTTTTTCTTTACTTGTACACGTCTTAAAATCATGAGGCCCCCCACAGCGCTTACACCTTTGTTCCCCACGACAGTGCTTAGCAACATGTCCAAAACGCTGACATTTAAAACAGCGTGGCAGTGTCTCCACGTAGTCTACCAGCTCCTGTTTGGTGAAGCCAAGGTTGATCTTCTCTGGACGTTCCGAATCGGGAGCGAATGTGAGAACCACAGAGTCAGTGCGACTAGATTCCCACTCGGAGGATGAGGTTTGAACCCATCGTATGATTCTTCTTGCGTGGTATACTCCCTGAGGTCTCAGGTAGGTTAACAGCTCTTCGTCAAAGCTTATGTGTTTCTGCTCTAGTAATGCAAGGGCCATGTTTAGTATTTACTAACAAAAGCCGATTTGTTTTTTGTATAAAATATCTTTGGCTAGGAATCAATGGTCAACTTTGGGCCAAGATAATGACCTCTATGATAAAATCAGAAACGCATATACTGAACAGGCACTTTTGTGTTCATGTGCTTATTTTTTTACCAGAGTGGTTGTTATTTTGGCGCGAAGTTGACTATTGATTCTTCGAAACTTACTAACTACCCAAACAGCGATTACTACTAGAGTATGTTTGGCTCAGTGGAAACTTCAGGATCTCCTGCAAGATTCGCAAGAATGTTCAAGTTTTCAGCCTAGGACCAGTGGCGTACATGCAAATGTCAAAATTGTTTTTAAACACGCAGATGTGCTTGACGTCGCAAAGCTGTAAAAAACCAGCATTTCCATGTATGAATGCAACTGATGAGCGAAGCTGCTTAAAAATGGGACGTGAACGACTATGCGCCTGTTCTAACTGCTGCACACAGTGGCAAGAACGACTGAGCCAGTGAGTGTGCGTCGCGCACAGTGCAGGGAGAGGCAGACAGGTAGGAGAGGAGTCGAAGTGGTGATGCGGTGGGAAGCTTCGGTGGCAGGGAGCTTCAACGGTGGCGACAGAATTCCAGGTTGCAGGAGCATCTGCTACTACCTTCGACAAAGCACCCATAGTGCGCTAGAATGAAGGTTGTCATTTCACAATCCACGATTAAGGTGGGAAAAGGGAAGATGACAATAGCAACCAGTAGTGTGCAGAGCTTATTTTTTTTTAACCTTGAATTTCTGAAACTACTGAAGACCTAAACATGTCCTCTTAAATCACCTGCCACTGCAACCTAAACCAATGCTTAAGAGAAGGGAGCTTCGAAGGCGAGGTGCGGGCTTGAGGATGTTCACTCCTAAAAAATTTCACTGTAGGCATAGATTGTCGCTTACTGAAGAATGCAGTTTGTTGGCAACACTGATCACATCTTCCCATAGAGTTTCCTAAATTTAACTAGAGGAAACTCTGGCGCTGCGATCGTTCAGCGACCATGGGAATGATGGGCAGTACACACATTTGCTTACCGTATATACTCGATTCTACAGCGCCCTCGATTGTAACGCGCACCCGATTTCCACGACAAAAAAAAAAAAAAAGTAAGGCATCGATTGCAACGCGCACCCATTTTTCTCGCTGGCCCGCACGATCACACTACTCAAAGAAACAACTCCTTTCAGGAGAGTTTAATTGTGAGGTACGGGGGAAGCTTGTGCTCATCTGACGTGTAACAGAGCATTGCCGTCACTGTAGTTTTACCGTGGACCGATGTCAGCACGCGAACTTGCTTCGCCCCCTTCTTCTCAACGGTTGTGGTGCCGGGCATGTCGAAGTAAATAGGCGTCTGATCAGCATTCCCGATTTGCATAAGCAAGTAGCCGTTGTTGTGCCGCAAGTTTAGGACGAACCTCTGAAAACTGTGAAGCTTTTCATCGTACTCCTCCGCAAAACCTTTCGCATATGCCCGTTCACCTTCGGAGGGAAAAGTCTTTCCTCTTCATAAAGTTAGTTAGCCAGCACCTGCTCGCTTTAAACTGGTTCCGCGTTAGACCTTTTTCTAAGGCTAATTGCATAGCCCGCACTTGGAGCAGTTCTATCGTCACGGGCCGCTGTGTTGCTCGCTGCTCAAGCACATACTCGCCAAGCAGCTCTTCAATTTGTGGAAACCGACCCTGCTGTGGTCCACTGAAGCCTTTGCTGTCGACAATCTTCTGTTTTTGTTTCTGCCAGTCCCGCACGCACGTTTCGGGAACTCAAAACGCCCGCGATGCGGCCCGATTTCCGTCCGTTTCCGCACACGTGATGGCTTTTCTTTTAAAAGCGCCATCGTGGTGCACTCGAGTTTTCGGAGTCCGCCCTTCCATGCCGTCGATGCTAACGCACAACAAGATGACGAACTCCTCAGCACACGTAGAATACTCCTTTTTGTAGAAAACTAATCTCAACACACTGCTGCGATCTTGACAATGATGGTACCACAACTCTGCGTCTTCTGCACAGTTTAACTCAAGAGGCCATTACCAGTTAGCTGAAGACCGTTCTTGTTTCTGTGTTGCATGGAGCCTACAGTGATTGGTAGAGTTTCTGGAAGTGCTGGGTCGATGCAGGTGAAGAATATATTGATAACTACATGTGTCAGATTTGTGAATAAATTTTTTGTTACAATTCAGTCCTACTAAACTTTCCAAGCAGACCATGTAGATTATCACTGATATGAGCAGGACAACCAGGCATTGGCTCGTGCAACACAGTGTTGGTTGTATGAGTGGTATCATTGGTGGATGATTGATTAGTGATAGGGCTAATTACTAGTCAGTCATCCACTAATGTGTGATTACTGATAGCTGCCAATCGATATATGACCCTGCCTAATGATGTCTCATCTGTCACATTTTATATCCAGCAACGATTTCATGTTTTCAATCTGAACAGATATTATTAATCACACAGATGGCACAGGACTTATATATTATGCAGGCCATCATTTTACCAGTGAAACAACCTACTTTATTCACAACATTGAGCATTCAGGAAATGCTCAGGTTTTGAACTGCAAAAATTCGGGTACTCCCTTTTAAAATAGCGTTCCGTTTTTTTTATTACCGTAGGTTTAAGTATCACTTATATACAATGGCAGGAAGTATGTTCAAAACTAAAATGTTTTAGCAATTATGACAGTTAATCATGGATTTTTTCAAGTAATAAAAAGCTGACAGTAATAAAAGTAATAAAGTATAAAAGAGTTAAGTAATAAAACATAAATAATAAAAGTAATAAAAGAGCTAACACCTTCTTGTAAACATATGGCTCGTGTGAGAAACCGTTCACTGCGACATAAGACGAGTATAATGGAAATTGTGACCCAACTACGCGAGTATCTTGTCAACACTGGTTAAAACATTGAGCATTTATAACTTCCTCTTAGTTTTGCCACATGCCGAAAAAAAAACAGAGTGGATATTTGCTATAGTTGAGTATCCTCGCATGACACGTGAGCATAAGTTGATGTACTTTTCACTTCTGACAAGTATATGCCCAGAGCACACAAAATTTGTGTGCGGCAGTGGGAATGTTCACTGAAAGGAGAAAAAAAAGCAGAATCTCTAAAAGGGTGAGGTGAACATTGCAAACATTTGGCAACACAGACTACCGTATACCTGACGTCCGAATGAGTTCCTGGGGTGTGTTGCACATAATTGAACAATTCGAAGGTAAAGTACAGTGAAATCTAAAATAACATTCTGCCACCATATCTGTACAAACGAGCAAGAAAGGCAATTTGAGAGAGGCCCTGCACCTTTTGCTCTATATAAATGACAGTTTTGTTTGACTTTAAAAGCCAGTTAGGATTATATAGACATTTTTTAAGTCAGCAGCATGATCTTCGTCGTACGGGCTGACCCAATGGAGCAGACGCTGACAACGGAACTGAGGCTTGCTCGGATTCGTCCAAGTTTAGTGCCTTGTGGTTGTGCAGTATCTGCGAGAAAAAAACCATGAAAAATGCTTGCTTGCTGAGTTCACAAACTACTTTCATGATCATGGACCCAGTGAAGCTATAGTGTGTCTCGTTGTGTCCATCCTGTATTAACTGCTTCTCGGTTTGTGATTTCTGTTTATGCTTGGGGTTATAAGGTTCTGTCATTTCAGCTGCTTCTCGACTGCTAGCTGTGCTTACTTCATTGTATTTTTTTGCACTTGTGGGTGAAAAAATGAAGGAATGCAATGGACTGCACAAAAAGACACCAGTGAAGAGAAGGAAACTCAAGATGGCCATGACTATCTCGTGAATATTCACATTCAGATACACGTAAGTGTCATATTACATGCACCGAGACGAAACCTTAGAGATAGGTAGCTTTATAATTAATGTCTATAGTTTATGAGGCATCAAAGTTGAACGTGATGCAAAACCATGAAGTGAGTGTTATGCAAGACACCAAGACAGGTCTTTGTGGTAATGGTGTAGTTTATACAAGGCAACTATGAGACACCACGTGCCATGACAAAATCTAACAGAACTATGAAGATAGCTAGCACGACAAAAGCATGAACGAAAATTAGTGGGAATAGAGATAGCAGAAAGTATGAAATTATACTGATACCTGTATGTGTAACCCTGCACTTTCCTTGAAAGGTTAAATATTTTTTCATTTAAAGATGAAAAATTCACTTAAAAAATAGAACACCTTGGTCATACCAGAACATTTTTCATTTTCTACATTGATGGGAGTTATGTGGACTTTCGTGTTTTCACATTGCTGCAATATAGTGAAATTCTGCTATACATGACGATAGTTATAGCGCGAGAACAGAACGACGACACAGAGACAAGAAGGACACGTGTGTCGTTCTGTTCTCGCGTTATAACTGTCGTCATGCCCTACCAACTAGCCCAAGCTGCCACACTGCTATATAAGCACATGTGTTACAAAATGTATAAATTATTTTGTTTACATTACTGCTTATTCTCACATTCAGGTAAGTGTGCATACTAACGACATAAACCATTATTAAGCAGTCAAGCAGCACGTACTTGCGATATTAGAAACTTGGCTGCATCCTCAATGTTCACGTTATCTTTGGCTGACGTCAGGAACCACCCAGCAAAGTTGTTATCTTTGCAGAATTCATCCATGGAGGCTGGGTTGTTAACAATGCCTTCTTTGGACATATCGCACTGGAAGTGACACACATGAGGAAAGGTAAATGTGTGTATGCAGCAAAATGGGACAAGTGAAAGAAAAACTGGGCATATTCATACCGATCGCTAAATTATTTCAGGTGGCAAGAAATATATTCATTTCTATTAGAAGGATGGACACAAGGCATGAGGAGGTCGCACACATACCATGGCACATGGAACTGCTAGTGTCTTTTTTTTTTTCCCAGCTTCCAGCAAGCTTCTTTGTATGCATTATATTCTTAGTTTTTTTTTAATACCTATTTTTTAGTTTTATTTTGCGTGAGGGGGTAAATTGGGAGCTATACTTTTTTGTTTTCCGCATAGAAACTGCGTTTTCAGGGGCAGGATGTTTAACAATTTATTTTTTCAATTTAGAAAGCCCATTGGTTTGTACATGCTTGGCCACGTTGGCAGAAAGGACACTACTACGTCAGATTTCAATGATTTCCTAGCTGCAGTGGTAATGGCAGTTAGCTCGTCAACACAAAGGTCTAACAAAGGGAAAGCTACACTACTATGTTGGCCTCAATGTCGAGGCTTAGAGACTGAGTCTTATTCTTTTAAAGTATTCGTAGTTAGACAGAACAATGTACTGTGGGATGTGCATGGTGTTAAAGGCAGCTCGAAGGTGCGTGTATATTCAGCCTATGTTGACAGAGTCCGCACTCGCAAAACATTTGGGCTCATTCCTGAAATACCGCGCACATGAGGAGCTTCAGTGGCTGCACAGGGTTATACAGTTTTTTCTGCTGATTTCAAATATGTAATTAGTTTTCCTGTAACTCACTTTATTGCTGAGATAACTTAAGTTCACTCCCTATTGTTTAAGGCCACCATAGAAAAAAAAGTGCTTAATTAAAAGTGATATTTAGGATATGCCAACGTAGACTAATGACTATAGAGTGAAAGTATGGAAGAGGTTTTTGTTTTTAGACGTTTATTGGTTATTTTGCAGTAAAATGAACTATGCATGTTCAAAAGCAGTTGGAATTGTGTTACTATTTCGATTAGTAATTAATTAAAAGGTCATGTGCTCCAAATTTTGCTCCCATCCTTGCATTCTACACACATGCAGGTTTCCACTGCAAATAGAAATATTGTTGTACCTGCCCTAGCTGCAGAGATATTGAGGCCTCAAAATTGAATAGTCACAAATTTACTTTTTTGAGAAAAATGGAAAAAAACTGAAAACACACAGTTTCTTGAAAAAGCAACGATCATGGTGCGCATGTTTAGCAATCCTCACGAAGGCGCTCATAAATTGGTAGTAGAGCTTTAGACAAAGGTGCTGGCAAATTATAAAGAAGCCTCAAAGTCGCTTCCCCATTTTTTTGCAGGTTCTGCATGTTAACAGCACCAAGAATCTGGACAGTTAAAATGACATTACAAAAATATACTACTTCTTGGTGCGTGAAACTTTGCAGAGAGATAGAAAAATACTTGCAGAAACCAAGTATGTCAATTTTAAAAAATGAATATTTTTGTCACTTTTTGGTCCCAAAGAGCAGTCTGCCCCCTTAAACCAAAGCTACGTTTGCACGTGTTCACATTTTTCTTGCACAAGTGGCATAAGGGGATGGAAACAATGTGTGTGTTTGCTTGCCAGCCACCAATTCACATAACTTACAAGGATCGATCGTTGCACACATTAATGTGCACCGCTTCTGGTAAGACATGAATAAAAACATCAACAGTTTGTGTGAGTATGCTTCCCCGCACGATTGCGCTTTATGTGGCAAAGTAACGTTTCAAGGTGAAGTAAGGATGAAGATCTGACTGATCTGGACGACTACACTTGTAGCTTAGAACGTGTAGCTCAGATGCTACATACGCGGTAAATATATGTAACGCATAACGGTATATTTCTCGAAATGCCGCTTTTGTGTAACTACGTGGAAATAAAAACGATGTTCGAGGCATAAGGCAGACCGGAATGACTTATGATTGATTGATTGATGGATGTGTGAGGCTTAACGTCCCAAAACGACCATATGATTATGAGAGACGCCGTAATGGAGGGCTCCGGAAATTTCGACCACCTGGGGTTCTTTAACGTGCACCCAAATCTGGGCACACGGGCCTACAACATTTCCGCCTCCATCGGAAATGCAGCCGCCGCAGCCGGGATTCGATCCCGCGACCTGCGGGTCAGCAGCCGATACCTTAGTCACTAAACCACCGCAGCGGGGCAGAATGGCTTCCCGAAAGAGCGTTGTTATGCAAAATGCGCGAACCAGTGTTTTTGCGTTGTCTCGTCATTTGCGTGGTGTTATCTAGTGTAATTAATAAGTATCGAATAATTATCACTAAGAAATAAGGTCACGCTGTACTTATGTAAATAAATTTGTAAGTTAGAAAACAAAGAAAACATCAGCTTGCATGATGAGACATTTTGGAAGCCACTCTACAGGTGCAGCGCCAGGACTATTCGAGAATTGGGGGAGGGGTCGTGTTTTGACTGCTCTTGGGAGAGGGGAAAATCAGGACCCCTCCCCTCGATCCACTCCCAGGCGCCGCATCTTGCAATTTACTGCCGAAATGGAAGTCTGAGTTTGCACGAAATGGAGGCTGCCAGAAATCGTCGATAGAAATAATCGCGCAAAAAAAAAAAAAAGCCAAATCGGTGCATAAGAGCCACAAACGGCAACTCTGGAGCATTCATGTGAGGCGATCATTTGCTTCGCACTTAAATATAACAATACTATGTGAACTTTTTCGCGCTCAAAGCCATGATATGGTTATGAGAGACGCCGTAGTGGAAGGCTCCAGAAATTTCGACCATCTGATCTACACGGGCCTCTACCATTTCGCTTCCATCGTGATGTGACCGCCGTAACTGGGATCGAACCCTTAACCTTCGGATCATTAGCAGAGTGCCCTCGCCACTGATCCACCGACGCGGACGCACTCAAACATATCAAAGCGCCGCTCGTGTAAACGTACCTTGTTTGCGAGCAGCACGCAGGGTATGGAACTGCCTTCGGGCAGCTGCACCTTGCTGTCCAAGTCGGCCTTCCACTTCCTCACCGCTTCGAAGGTCTGCGACCGCGTCACGTCGAACACGATGAAGGCGCCGACGGCCTCCTTGTAGTAGACGCGCGTCATGTTGCCGAACCGCTCTTGGCCTGAAATTCAGGCAACGCGGAATGTGGTGCAGTGGCAAAAAGGTCTGCACACACGCACGTTTCCGCCTATAACACTGCGCGTGCGTGTGTGCATCTGCAAACTTGATTGTGGGATATTACGCGCCAAACAAATGGTATATTATCAGGCACATCTTAGTGGCAAGAGGGGGGGGGGTAGTGGATATGATGTAGGGTGCCGAAGCACTCTAATATAATGGTGCGCTCGTTCATATAAGTAAGTACACGGGCGATCCTTGCACATCAACCAAGCTTGGTTAACCTCCGTGTCTTTCCTCTCCGTTTCTCTCTCTCGGCCACTTCGGTATGCGGCCGCCGTGGCCTGCCACCAAGGCGAGTCTCCGTGCACGTAGCATTGTCAGTGTTTCGTTTTTGAGCATTGTATTGCGATATTGACAATATGAACACTTGAGCCGCATTTCCGTATTCACCTTCATGTTCATAATAAAGTCAAAATCGATTCTTCGTATGTTCTACGTGCGACTGAAAACTCTGTGAAGGCAGCAGGCGGGAGCGGGTCATGCAGAGATGAATTGTGCAGGCCGGCTTCGTCAGGTGAAGGAGCATGAGGGGTTGTCGGTGGAAGCGCTGCGTCTCGGGTAGAAACTGCGAACGTTGATCAAACGAACGCGGTCGCGACAGAGGTCAGTATACACGACTCAGATTTCGTACTTGCCATGCTCGTAGCCGTGGGGAGGCTAGGGGCTTGGGCCTTCCCGAAACTTGGATGGAGGGGGGTATTTTACCGATGACAAATAATAAAAATATGTTTTTAAAGTTTAAAGACTCATCTAGTGGGCCTTTTCTGAAAAAAAAAAAAACTCCTTGCTACGGTCCTGCAGCGCTCTCACTTAACGTTTGAAGCAGCATACGACATGAAAAGCGCTTAGCTCGCTGAAGCGGCCGCATTCCCTTACCCTAGTGTTTCCATAAGCAGAAAGGAATAAAGTTTATTTATTAGAAATTGTAGTGCGAATGGGGAGCCATGATCAAGCTAGTGGACTGGTCTGCTAGCGCGGCGGCCCCCTGGGTCTCGATCTATAGCCCCCCGTCTTTTCCTGACCAGTATTTTGGGACGTGTGCATTTATTGCCATCTCTCGTCGGTGACAGTGGTGGCCTGCCGTAACTGAATGGGAAATAAGCAAAAAAAAAATTATCTGGCGAAAAAGCTAACTACAAAAAAAAAAACGACTCCCGGTTATGTATCGCATGAACTGACTGGTACATTCTGGTAAGCCTACATGCAGTGTCGCACTACAAACCACGTGGAATCCCCAGAGTGTTTAGTATTTTACCATGGACCCCGTCTGTTTCCAATGGAAGGTGTGGGAAGCCACGCGCCTTTTACTGTGACACTGCAATTTAATCTGGATGCTCCAGTTGGTCTCTGTTGCATATAATCGACAATCGTTTCCGATAACTAGTCTTTTCGTCAGATAATGTTTTTTTTTTGTCTACTTCCATGTGATCGTCGGCAGGATTTTCTCCTGGGTGGTGCAAACCAGTATTGCATCGCGGGTGGGGGAGGGAGAGAGCACTGGTGTAACTTAGATGATGTAAGTGCTGATGAGGCTGGAGAGGGGCAGGCGCCGCTTTTACAACCCCTTGCCGATGCCCGTGCCTGCTTTCCAGCCAACTTTTCAGTTATGAACAGGACGCCATTGCTGTGCCCGAGAGATGGCGCCAGATATTGATGTCTCCAACATAGTTTCTCATAATAAACTATTGTCTCTAAATCTTGAGTATGTTGAGTTACGCCTGATTGGACCCTAAGGGAGTCAGCTGCTCGCCTTACTTCCTGTACCATTCCAATTTGTGATCGCGTTCAGTTCTTCGCCTTTGCGTATAATCTGACCTTTTCTTTAGAGAGATTTCGTATGGCTCTGCGGGCAGCTTACATGTTATTCAGGAACACATACTTACTCGTTTAGTACGGGACAACGGGGCACATTGTTCTTCGTTCATGATGCATTTCACACACTGCCATTCATCACTCTTAAATGAAACAGTTTATTACGCTTCAATTTAAGAGAAACCGCTCTTACTTTCGAGTACACGTTTCACGGGTAACCTGTAAACAACTTACCGGCGATGTCCCATAATTGAAGACGAATGAGGGTATTTTCATCCCATTCTACAACCTTGAGAGCGAAGTCGACGCCAATCTGAACGGAGCTCGGGTCAAGGACTGAGGACAGCAGTCAGGAGCGCGTTTGCTATCAGTTACTGTTAAAAGCCGCAAATAGCTTTTCGATAAACAAACCAGCGCAGAGACGTGAAGTCTTTGCAGTAATCAACAATGCCTGATATGCGACAAAAATACCACAATGACCTTGAGCAAACAAATAATTACTGAATAATGAATATCGGTGCGGCAGCAAAACCTTGTCTAAGAGACAAGCATATTTAAGCAAGTAAAGCGTGGAACATCAGGGAAGTGAAAGACAGTGCAATAATATAACACAATGCGTAAAATTCAGAGAATGAAGGGCGAAGGGAAATCCAGTTTAACTCGAACAGAGAGTCTCCTGGTTTGCTAACCCATGCACTGGAAGGATGGCAATAACGTTGGATGGAAACGTGAAAAAAAAAGACGTGCGACAAATAAATAAATAGAATGGAAAGTGTGTGGGGGGGGGAGGAGGGGTGCTTGTGCATTTCTTAATAGAGCTAATACCGCCATACGTTAGCTGTGGTTAGGTTTCCGCTTTTCAGACACATCTTTCTTTATACTTTGTGTAGAAACACACACAAAAAAAAACGGACAAAGATTGCGCCTGTCTTGGCTTTTGTTCATTTCGTAGAAATTTTATGCGTTAAGCGCTAGAGAAGTTCCTAAGGTTAAAGCAGGGCTTGCATTGTGTTACAATCTCTGAATGAGGAGAATGCAAAAACAACAAAGCGAAAATTAAAAAAAAAATCTGTTGGCGTCGTCTTACTCTGTTTTCAAGCTGTCTGCATGATTAATAATAGGTCAGCAGGTTGAAACTCGGACGAATTTTGACGTTTCTTTAACCACCAGACACAACGTCCCGTACTCAGAGGCTGCGAAAACATTCATGCATTATGCTGTATAGTAGGATACGGTAGCCCTGTAGTGGTGTGAAAAGAACTGGTGCACGTAGCGCTTGATGATGCTGGTCTTGCCGGTGCCCAACTCTCCGATGACCAGGATCTTGTACAAGTGCTCGCGCTGCGGTGGGTTTTTCATCGCGACCTGCGTGTTGAAACAACAAGAGTTGAGGGATGGCCGGTCTATAACTGCACGACACGAAGATTCGCCGTAAGGTATGCGCGGGTGAGGGTGAGATGGAAGGAGGGGAGAGCAGTAGTTTTGGAGTCTATGAAAGATCCCGAAGAAATATTCGCAGAAGGTACGTCTCTGAGAAATCGCTCTCTAGGGGGAAAAAAAAAATTCTCTAGGTGAAAAATTAACCCAAGAACGATTTGCGTGTAAACTCACTTTGCAGACCTACACTCTTTATTCGACACTCGGCATGCTTTTCGGCCACCACACAGACACACATGTGCAATTCCACTTGAATATAATTTTCTGGCGTAGTTTATTATTTATATCTGATGAAAGAGAGTTTTTACTTTTACCTATACATTTTAGCGGGTCTGAAAATTTTATTTAAAATTTGTAATGTGTTCTTTTTTTCAATTTTATAACTTGCCTTACTCAGAAGTTTCATAACATTTAATAAGACCGCTCAATTCCTGGCTAATCCACCACATTGGGTATGATCCACAAGAGAAGGTGAACAAGAACAAAAGCTTCCAGTGAATCAATTTTCGTCGTTTCTGCAGTCTAGTTGTCAAGTGAGTTGTGAACACGTTGCTGCATGACCATGAGCGATGCCTTATTTTTATTAAAGGTTGCACTGATTCGAAAGCGGGGCAATTGAAAAACATAGTCAACTGTTTGCTGCGTGAAACATTGCTTGCACAGAGTTTATTTCATTTCTTGTAAAAAATTGTGGTTACTATTCATATTGTCATTAATTTGACAAGACAACATATCTACTCAGGTTTGTTCATTCTGTGCGTTTCTTATTTTGCGTTATGTTGCTAGTTGGAGAAATCGTTTGGTGTGCCCTTCTATAGTCACGACAACGTAAGTGAACGAACATATGAAGCAAATTATATATATATATATATATATATATATATATATATATATATATATATACTCACTTTTCATCACTTTTACCTTACAGTTTGGTGTAATAACATTTTTATACTTACCTTGGCATTATTGCCTGTTAGATTTCATTATTATTGTGTCAAAGCACGGAAAAACGAGCCCTTAAGTATACACTTCTTTCCCTTATATAGCTATATAGCTATTAACGCTATCGTGTTAAAACACAGCTGTCCCGGACTGCGTTCTTCAAAACATGTAGAAAGTTGAGCTACTCGCCTAATCAGGCAATAGCGCTTCGGGCAGACCAAGGACTTTTGGTCCGCCCCAAGGAGTGCGATATTGTGATTGAACATGGATCCATGTAAAGCCTTGTTCCCACTTGTTAGGACTCGTGACACACTTTCTAGCGAGCGATGAAGGAGAGAGAATAAAAAAGTGGATATGAAAGAATATAATAGGCGCACTATGGAAAGAGAACGAAACACACATGCAGCACCGCATACGTCAGTAAGACAGTTCTTATCGTTCAACAGCAGTGACTGCAGCTTGGTTTATCGTTCCCCCGGTTGCACGACGCTGTCGATGGTCCTCTTGTTCCCCTACATTTATCTTTTTGTCGGCCCGTGGACCACATTGTCTTGCTAGAACTATCTCAGTGCCGGTTTCGTACTCGCGACAAACGCGTGTCCTGAAACAACAGAAATGTGCGCTGAAAATACTGACGTCCTTGGTTTATAGGATCCCTGCAGTTGCGTTGAAATTCCCGTCGCCGACGCTATTTGAACGGATACCGCTCTGAAGTAGGGGCGATTAGTTTCTGCTTTTGTAATGCGACGAGATAACAGTCTTCGGCTGACACTTGCAACGAAACTCAACCGAAGCTCCACGAGACATCTTTTCTAATTCAGAAAAGATGCTCCGTGGAGCTTCGGTTGAGTTTCGTTTCAATTAAACGGGTGAGCACATGAAATGGGGCAAGCGTCGAACACAAAAGAAGTGTGGCAGCTTGGGCTAGTTGGTATGACATGACGATAGTTATAGCGCGAGAACCGGACGACACAGAGACTTTCGTGTCCTTGTTGTCTCTGTGTCGTCGTTCGGTTCTCGTGCTATAACTATCGACAAAAGAAGAGCTGAAAGTGACTGCTGCAACGTCTTGATGCGACATGCGTACTCCTATCATACAGCCCTCACGTCGGCCCAACGGCAAATGTAGTGAAGCGCCATCCACTAAAGCTAATTTATCTAGCAGTGTCCAGGGCCGTCATTCTCACCGGCGGAAGCGTTCATATTAAGTTACCGCTTCTGGTGCTGCTATTATCCATATTGCTGTTGGCATCGTCACGCAATAGTAAACATGCGACTGCTTAAAATATGTTTGCGCGTACAACATTTGTACACACCTTCGCGTGCTTCACGTAACGTCGATTCCCAAGGTCTGTGGGATCTGCAGAATTTTCGTTTGAAAGTTAGCGCACGTGTTGTGTCCTCCCAACTCGTCCTTGCGATACATTGCGCTAAATATTACCTAATGTCACATATCACTGTAATTTCGGAAATTATCATGAGATGACATAAGGTAGCGACGCACAATGATGCCATGACATGACATAGTCGCTTTTCCAAGAAGGGGGGGGGGGGGGGGGTTTGCGATCACGGAAGCACTGCAAATCCAAGTGAGGTGCAGGAGGTTTTCGACGCCTGCAATGCTAAAGGCAGTTCAGTAGCACGTTAGGTGCGGAAAACTTTCGTACGAGAGCTGGGAAGGATCAATTAATAGATCCATTCGTCCGTCAGTCCGCCCGTCCATCTGTATGTCCGTCCGTCCGTGCGTCCACCACTCTGTCTGTCTGCCCGAACGTGCGTCCGTCAGTCAGTCCGTCCATCTGTATGTCCGTCTGTTCGTCCATTCGTATATCTAGTGAAAACTCTAAGTACAGCCATCTCACATATTTTTATCACGTATTCATCATATACAAGTGCCGCCATCCAGCGGACATTCTAAGGACCACTATTTTTGGGGTGGTCCACTCTTTCGGGTATGTGTCACCGGTGGTTACGCACTACAACTAGAGACGCACAAGGCAGGCCATAACGAGCTTCGCCCCTAAAAAGGAGATAGCTTTCATCTTCGATTAGTCATAGGAGAATGTATTTGGGACCCACTATAGTAAAGAAAAGTTTAGTAGTTGAGAAGTATGTCGCTCCATATTAAGGCAAGTAATCTACTACCTGTTGGCACTATCGGCTAGAAATTGTCCGAATATGTCTGTTAAATATTGTGTGAATGACAAAGAGGGTCACTGTCATCATTAGGAGGAGAGCAGTGCATTCGGAATGAAGAAGATGTGAACGGGTGGGCTTCGCCATGGGGACGGCGGCTCGTCCTTTTCTCCACATTTTGGTGCCGAAACCCGGGAGGAAGGACTTTCGGAGGTGAGACGGAGTGGACTTCACGAATTTTGACCACAGTCGTAGCCTCGAGGACTTTTTGTGAAGCAGCCGAGGCTAAAGCTGATGTGCGAGGCCTAACCACCGCTGTGACCCGGGAGCACGACTCCGGTTGCAACTAAGACTACTAGGAGCACCCATGGACTGACTTGAGTGCAGGCATCGTCCGGAGGTTCGCGATAGGGGAGCCCTCACGTCTACTTCGGCTCCGTCCTGACTCGCCCTTCACGATGACGGCCCGACGTTCACAAGTGAAGGCAGTCCATATGTCAACGACGTACACCTTGACAGCGCAGCCCCGTGAGTGCAAGCATCGTCTGGAGGCTCGCGAGACGGGAGCCCTCACGTCTTCTCCGGCTCAGTACTGACTCGCCCTTCACGACGAGGGCCTGATATGCACTAGATCGTGAAGAACGACAGCCCGACAAGTGATGGATATTCGTTGTGTGAACCTTCTGCGATGGATGCCGTGTTGACTCCGACTTCGCCTCGTGACACGGCCGGTCAGTGACTTCTCACGTTTCCGACACTGGACCGGATAATGGAGGCCCTCTACGAAAGGCGGAGTCAAACACGCAAGGCCGTCACGCAGGTAATCGCAGACGTCGAACGTCTGCGATTACCTGCGTCCACCCAATCTGAGAGCCCACCAATCGGATTGCCCACCAATCTGAGAGTTACGACGTATTCACCGAGTTTTGATTGAGCTGTATGAGGAAGTCAAAAGAATCAACAAAGAAGTAAAGGATGCAGTTGACACCGATCACTTGGAAGCAAAGATGAAGGAAGCCGACGTTTACGAGCACAAGATTATTCTAGTAAGGGTCAGAGCAGAACATAAGATCGCAGATACATTAAAGGCTCGGCAGACGCACCTAGACTTAATACAACAACGTATGAGAACGGAGGCCCAGAAGAATGTACTCTCTCCGACATTGTCACCGCAATCTAACAATTAAGTCTTCAACGGCCATCTTGTCCCACAGAACTTGGATGAGTGTACCACAGCACATATAGAGGGACAAAATGGCAGCACATAAGCTAGAACTACCACAGGCCAAATAGACGGAGAAAATGGCAGCACACAACTAGAACTTCAACTACAGAGAAGGCCTCCTCCTCCGCGCCGTTAGAGATGTCATCAGCGTGCTGCACCCATCAAGCTATTGACAAGAAGTCTACAACAACTGCGGTGTTCGAGGTGGAAAGTATTCCCATGATTGAGAACGAAGAAAACTTAGTAGATCTAAAACGCCATTCACGAGATACTAATAATGCGTCCAAGTGAAATCTGGCAGACTCGGACGCTACAAAGCCCTCCTCAACCTGTGTCCAAGTGCCCGACGGAGGAAAAAGAAGGCCAGCTCACAAACCGAGAAGAAACAGAAGAAATTAAGGCCATGACGACACAAAATCAAGCCTCATGGATGGCTGAAAGCTTCAGCTCTTCGAGAAAGCTGCGGAAGCCAATATTCAAAGGATTGTGCATAGCACATATTTCAGCGAATTCGTGAAATGCCCGCACAGTGTCACAGTTGCGAATGAGACGGACCAGATGAAAGCGGAGCCAGAAGGCCGAGGCTTACAAGGTAAATGCCGCAGGCAAGAGGTCTCTCAGA